GAAGCTTTCTAATCAGTGCAGATGCTCAGACCCTAACCCCAGAGGGCAGTGTGCAGCCAGATATGCTCATCATTAAATAAGGTTTCCTAAGAATGTCCTTTGTAACAAAGGGGGTACTAATACTGCCCCCCCCAGAAGTGTTATATTTACAAAAGCACTTGAGAAACACTGCATATACTCTTTTCTCCAGAGATTTACAGTGTACCTCACTATGGTATAGAATTTGGAAAGTCCTGTAGTCCCCAAAACAGAACAAAAACATCAACTTAGCCCAGAATTTCCCTAATTTAAAGGATGTACATGACCTTAGAATCTAACTTTTACATATCATCTAATTAAGACTTTCCCAGGATATGTTAAGGGAAAGTAACCTTCTGTAGATTTTTCTTAAACAGGGGCTTGGTGGGAGAAGTCTCTTAAGTAGAAGATTCTAAGAGTGTGAAATGTGTATATTTATAAAAAAAACCATGTAATTTTGTTAAGAGTGAGAAGCACTGATCCTGAAGAACTACTGTTTAGTGCCTACTGTGTGCCAGGTAGTGGATTGAGTCCCTTACTATGTGGATTTATTAAATCTTCACAACACTGCAAAGATGTTATTTAAAGATAAAGAAAGTCACACTTGTAATCTCAGTACTTGGGAGGCTGAGGCAGGAGGATCACTGCAAGTTCGACACCAGCGTGGGCTACTTAGTGAGTTCAAGACCAGTCTGAACTGCAAAGTGAGATCCTGTCTCCAAAAAGAAAAAGAAAAAAGATGAAGAAAGTGAAACTTTGGAAGATGCCCTTACATCTTTGACCGAGTGTGAACTCATTCTTTAACTTGTACAGTACTTGGTAATGGGAGACAAGGAATGTGGCACCTGGGATCTGTGGAAGGTAACTAGTGGTGACTGTTATTAAAACCCTCATCTGGTTTCCCTTTTCCTAAGTGCAGCAAGCCATAAAGATTCTTCTGGAATGGATATTCTTCACATAGCAAAGCCAGAAAATAGCCTTGATCACCAGAGACTAGAAATCAGGGCTGCAAAGAACCTGAATAAAGAAACTCTGAAATAGCTTCTCCATCACCCACACACCAGCAGCCAGAACTCCTAACAACATCCCTAGAATTTACCACTCTGTTCCAGATATACCTGGTCCAGATGCCATCATTCCTTCATACATTTGTTGTTCTTCATCTAAAGAGTTATAAAAGCATCATGCTTTGGTCATTTCTTTGGACTTCACTCTCTCGTGAAGATCTCACATGCATGTAAACTTGATGAAAATGTTATACTTTTCTTTCTTAAAAATACCTCATTTTATAGGAGGTATTAATCATGGGATCATATACCATCCATTTAATTCAGTTTATACCATTTTCATTTCCTGGGAATTTTCAACCCAAACTTCTTCCCATAAAGTTTTGGTAGCTGCCATCACGAAAGTGTTGCTCTGTTTAAATTACTAGGATTTTTAATAAAATTGATAACACTGTCCTCATCTGGATCAAGTATTAACTCCATAGGTACAGTTGCCACTGTTTGCTTAAAATTAACATTAAGTGACCAGTTTAGCTGATCTTGGGTTGTAAGTCAAGGAAAAAGGGAAACTCTCCTGAGTCACAATGGGTGTCCTTCCAACTTCTGGAACAACAATGCCATTTTAGGTCCTGTATGGAATGTTATGATCCAGGCTGTTCACCATATCTTTGGCCATGCTTAAAAAGAGAAGGGTCTGTGTAGCACTAGGATCAACACTGGAGTCAGAGTTCAGAGTAATGATAGTAACATGGATGAAGAGACCTTGACATTGGGCAGGTGACAGTTTCCTTCTGGCTGAGAGCCATTCCCTGGACCTGTCCAGATTCTCCCCTTTCTTCTCTTTCTCTCATTCCAAGCTCTCTTTTCCTCCTTCTATTAAACACTGTTCTCTTTGGCCAGTCCTTGTCCCAGAATAAAACATCAGATTTTCTTCCCCAGTTACCCCACCATCCCAGCCCTCCTGCTAGGTGCTGTTCAATATGCTCAGGGCTGGATTTTCATTCATGTCTTTTCTGAGGGTTATATTAAGGGCCAGTACAAGAGATGGCTATGTAAGAAGCATCTCAACACCTTTTGAAAAACCACTTCTGAAGATACTGTACATTATATTATTTAGTGGTCCTTGTGAAAAGTAGCTACAGAATAAATAATTTTAGAATTCAGTTCCAGAGATTAAAAGATAATACACATAGATGTGAACCTAAACATCCATGTACCTCATGTGTGTGCATGTCTGTGAGAAGCCAGACTGCCTCTCTCTGCAACACAAGTGTGTATTAAACCAAGTTTAATCCTCAATTATAACATTACACACCTTTTTTCATATTTCAGTTTTAGAAATTATATTAAGTGTGTTACCTGTGGCCCTTTTAAAAGTAGAAATAATATGATATTTTACTGATTTGGAGCACTACCTGTTTGTGTTTCTAAGGCCCAGATTGTATTATAATTACTTCTGCTCCATGAGTCAGTTCAGGGTGCTATAAAATCCACACTTACTAGGAGAAAGCTAATTATCACCAAATGGGTACTGCTGGGAGTCCCCCAAGTTTTTAATGACTATTTTTCTTATTACTCAAGCAATGCTCGTGAATTACAGAAAAAATTTAAATTGAAGGTGGACAAAGAAAAAAGTCATACATGACCCTACCAATCATTATTAGCATTGTTACTTTCCAAGTGGGATCTGAAAAATGTTTTAAAATTGCATATATATATATTTTTTTCAAACTCTGAAACAGTATCTTTCAACTGCATATGATGGTGCATACATGTAATCCCAGCTACTCAGGAGGCCAAGGCAGGAGTATCACAAATTTGAAGCCCACCTGGGAAAATTAGAGAGAGACCCTGTCTCAAAATACAAAGTAAAAAGGGTTAGGGGTGTAGCTCAATGATAGAATTCCACTAGATTCAATCCCTAGTACTGCAAAAACAAACAGCAACCAAAAAATTTTTCTACATCACTGAAGGAAGAATACAAGTAAGCCATATATAAAATTCATAATTACTTATAATTAATTATATGAAACTACCAAAATATGTGACCAAAGGCGTCAAATAGAGAAGTCAAAATAAAACATTTTTCCTATGGTGGAAGTAAGTAAAATGATGCAAGACCACATCACACTTTTTAAATGTAATTTTTAAAGATAATGCATTTACATGATTTTAAAATCAAAATTAAAGAGAAATGTAAACATTGAGAAATCTCACCACTGCCTTCCACCCTGTTATTTCATTTGGTTCCCGATGATAATGGCTTTTACTAGTTCCTTGGTTTGGAAGTAGAATATATATTCCCTCTTGGACAAAAAGTAGCAAAATATTATATACATTCTTCCACATCTTGCTTTTCCACCTAGTTTGTTCTGGAATCTTCTGTGTGAAAACATAGAAAGTTTTTTCTATTTTTCTTTATTCAACTATATAGTATTCAGTCTTTTGACTATGCTGTAATGTAAATACTTTGTTCTTTACAGACCATATTTACTCTTATAAACAATGTCACATTTAATACTCATGTACATGTCATCTCATTATAACTATAGGAAAATTCCCATAATTAAAATTTTAGAGTCATGGCCAAGAATTTAGCTCAGTGGTTCTACCACCTGCCTTGTAAGCACAAGGTCCCAAGTTTGATCCCTGGCACAAAAAAAAAAAAAAAATTTAGAGTCAAAAAGTAAACAAATTTATGATTTTTATAGCTACTGTCAAATTGGTCTGTATTATAAAGATCACAGCATTTTCTATTTTCATCAATAAACTTCCCTGAAGCCTCATACTTTTTATTTGAAAAACTTTGTGTGATCTTTAAAAGCAAATTCCATTCCAATAATACTACTAGCTTGTTAAAACTTATATTCCCTGAACCTAAACCAATTATATAATACATTAATTTGCAGTCAGTGTAATCATTTCTTTTTTATTTGTTAACATGGAAAAGAGCCATGAGGTGTACATCCTCAAGTGATAATTCATTTTAGCTTTGGAATATATTGCAATTTTTCCCAATTAAATATATACATATTTTTTTTTTGCAGTACTAAAGGTTGAACCTAGAGCCTCTCACGTGCTAAGCAAGCGCTCTGCCACTAGGTTACATCCCCAGTCCCTAAAATTTCACCTTCCTAATGATGTCTATATAATAAAACATTAAATTCAACTCTTCTTTTTTTTTTTAGCACAAACTGGCTTTTGGTGGAAAAAGACAAGAATTGTAAAGAGGCCAGTGATGTATTGACTTTTTCTGTTTCATCTCTGGGATCATGGATGATATTTTATTCTCTTTCTCTCTCTCTCTCTCTCTCTCTCTCTCTCTCTCTCTATATATATATATATATATAGTATACATATATAGTATACATATATACTATAGATATATGTAGTATAGATATAGATATATACTTTTTGCAGTACAGAGGATTGAACACAGAGCCAAGCCTTGCTCTGTCTCTACTATGTCTGCACTGTGTTCTCCAGGACTTTTTATTTTTTGAGACAGAATCTTACTAAGTTGTCCAGGCTGCCCTCATACTTTTGTCTTCCTGCCTCAGCTTCCCAAGTAGCTGAGCTTACAGGCATGTGCTACCACCTGCCCAGAGATTACATAGAGATAGATAGATAGACAGACAGACAAAGTGTGCTCAGATTACTTGGGTAAAAAAATTCATAATTGCCAATAAAATGAAAGATCCAACACAAGTATAATATTTCATTATTTTTACCTCAAAAAGTGTGAACCTCTGAGAGAAAGAATATTGCTTTAAGTAGTACTAATTAGTTAATTAACACACATTTTAATGAAATGAATTCCAGCATTAAAAATTGCATCTCACTGTGTTATCACCTAGAGAATGGAGACCGCAGTGTAAGTAATTGAAAATTTACCATTGTATTGGCATTGGTAAAATCCTCTGAGGGGGTCCTCTGTACCATGGTGTCTGATGCAGCCTTTCTCTTCCCTTGCAGCATTTTCCTTAAAGAGCTGGAGAAGTATGAGCAGCTGCCTGAGGATGTGGGACACTGCTTTGTCACCTGGGTAACCAAACAACTCCTTTTCCCACAGTCCCTATTTCTAGGAGTGCACACAGCACATCCGCCAGAGCCAAGAATTGGTGTCAGTGCCAGTGTCACTGTGGACAGGGGCTGCAGAGAGGGATCATAAGTAGATCTGTGAGAACTAATCCATCCCCAAGGAGCAAGGCCATCCTTGGGAAAGCCTTTAGCTGTCTACTCCAATCCACATCTCAAGCTCTCTAAGAACTCAAAATTGTGACATTGGGAGAGTGGAACAAGATCACCACTCTTGCAACAGTTCAGTCCACTACTTATTTTTACACGATATGGATGAGGGAATTAGAATGATCAGAAGCCACAGGACTATTGATTGCACTTTTTTCCTTAATAGAGATGAATAGACGTCTAGGTATCTATTCCAATTTTGACCTGTAAGATAAGTGTTCCCTCACCCTTTGTTGATGCTATTTTCAGATGAAGTAAATGCGCCAAATGTACCAAGTTCTAATCCTATAAACCAAAAAATTAATCTTCATTAGCATCTCCATCACAATGTTCTAAGCTTAGGCTCATGGATATGAGTACAGAGAGCTTCAGGAAAGACTGCTAAGGATGCTGAGTACAACAAAATATGAAATTCCTTCCCCAAGGCCAAAAATTCTACTGTAATAATAATTACCTGATTATAATTTGCACTCAAAATTGGCTAATTATTTTTTAGATTGTCTTCACAAATCAGAGAATGTATGCTCCCAACAGCCCTATGGAGTCAGCAGGACTATGGTTATGTTTTAGATTTTAAAGATGGGCACATCTTAGCTGAGATAGGAGGTTGGCTGGCCCACTGACATGTAATCAGTATCACAGCCAGCCCCACAACTCAAGGCCTGACTCCCAGACAAGCTTTCTTTTCATGAAATCCTAATGCTTGCTTCCAAGAATACTGGGTTTTTTTTAGTATGCTGTCTCATTTTGTTCTAATACATGCTGATAAATAATGTATGATCCCTTGCACAGCCAACATAGAGAAAAACAAGATTGATCATTAAGTAAAAGGATTTTTTGCATCGTGTTTCATGCAATTTGTGGATCGTTTTTACAATCAACCATAAGTATGATTTAGTATCCTCTTTTAGAGATGATGAACAACCTCCTAGGCAGTTTATAGCCTCTAAAATTGGTTTCAGAAAACCTTTGGTGACTGGATAAATTATGAACCTTTTGCCAAGAATTATCCATAGCAGACTTTCTTAAATCTCATAATCTTAATATATGAGTGTAGGACTGAAAAGTAGAAAGAGTTGCTTGTAATATATTGAATGTTAGTGGCTAAGACTAAGAAGCTTGAAGCCAAATTGTCTGGGTTTTCCACATTTTAACTGTGGGAATTTAAAGTCAGTTAACCAATCTGTGTCATAATTTTCTCATCTATAAAATAGGGACAAAAATAGAACTAACTGCAGAGTGGTGACCTGAGGATCAAATGAGTTAATCTATATAAAGCACTCAGAATAATGAAATCTGATGTGATGAGCACATACTTAGACTGCTCTAGCAGGGGAAGATATTTGAAATGTCCTCTAGGTATCAAAGTGGACACTTTCATCAATGGGAAGAGTAGTTGGTGGCCAAAATACACACTTTTCCCAGTAGAAAGGGCATGCAGCACTAACCAAGAGGGTTCTGAGAGAAATAAGAAATGCATTTTCACCAATCATAAGATTCTTGGCTTGAAGTAGCAATCTGTTTAGGAATCACTGTTCAGACCCTGACCCAAAGGCTCATCCCGCCTTCTTTCCCCACTCCTATCATTGCTTCTGGGAATTTGGGGAAAATGGAGTAGTTGCTTGACATGATCCTCAACTCTCCACCAATGGAGATATTTAGAGTAAAATAGATCTTGGATCATAACTCTTTGTTTTTGTATTTGTCTTGAAAAGGGCTAGCATTTTTCCTTTTTCAAGGTGAGTAACACAATTTTGGGTAACACAAAACAGGGAGTAATCTCTAAATTGTCCAACTTCAGAATACATTTATGATATGTAAATTAGTTTTTCTTTCTAAATCAGACTCATGTTAACCTGAGTTTACTTTCAGCAAAATTTTTCTACCTGCCAATAGGAGAAAAATAACCCAAGGTCTAGTAGGAAACTGAGGCTTGGATGAGCCCAGAATATTTGTCATGGAAAATCTAGGCACCGGTGTCTGTGGATTTAATTGTGAAGCCCATGCTGGGCTCTTCAGGCACAATAGACAGAAGGGAGTAAGTCATTCATGCTTACCTATTATTGTCTTTGTTCTTTTTAGGCAGACAAATTTCAAATGTATGTCACCTACTGTAAAAACAAGCCTGATTCCAACCAGCTGATCCTGGAGCATGCAGGCACCTTCTTTGATGTAAGCTGTGGTTTCCATTCCTGAGCAATTGATGAGCAGGTGGAAATGTTTCTCTGCTTTGAGATAAAGGATGTTTAGCTATTCTTTGTTCCTCATTTTTATTTACTGACTACACTGAACCTTTATCTCATGGACAAAGTAGGGAGGAAAAACTAAGATAGTATTTGTTTGTCTTTTATTTCACCCTATCCCATCTTAACTGCTCTAACTTTGGACAAAGCAAATCTGTCTCTATGCCTCAACATCAAATGTAGCTGGACACAAATTTTGTGATTACAGGAGGACTAACATGATGCAGTTGTTGGTGAAAATGTTTTGCTTCTACTTTATGTGTGGCTTTCTCAAACAGGGTGGTTATCAAAGTGTGGTCCTTGGGCCAGCCATGTCAGTATCACCAAGATGTGTTAGATATGCAAATTCTTTTTTTTTCCCAGTACCAGGGATTGAACTCAGGACCTTGCACTTGCCAGGCAGGCACAACAAGTTACATCCCCAGCCCAAATATGGAAATTCTTGAACCCCAACCTAGATCTGTTGACTCATGATCTCTTGATTGGGGCCTGGCAATGTGAGTTCTAAGGAGCCTTCCAGGCATCTCTTATGCCCACTCCAGTTTGAGAATCACTGCTCTAAAGCAATTGTTTTAACCTTGGTTACCCATTTTAATTGCCTGTGGATCTTTGAAAAATATCCTATGTCCCCGACTTGAGATTCTGATGTGATTGGCCCAAATGAGACTGGACATGGGATTTTTTTAAGTTTCTGGTGAGAGAACTGTGCAGTCACTTTGAGCACTTGGTGTTATTGAAGCCAAGAGAAAAAAGAAAGCTGGCCTCCCTTGTCAGATCCTTTGATTTTGAATAAACACACAATCAGGTTGATGGATGATAGGATAAATCTATTTAGTGCTGGTCCCCAAAAGGAATAACTGCTTGGATATAAAGGGAACAGAATCAAATTGATGACTGCAGGATTCAAGGGATGAATGAGAAAGATGAAATTAGGAAAAAAGAAAAATTCAGTGGGAGACAAATTGTAGCATTGATGGCCATTCTGATAGTCAGAAGTGACAGAAACTTGGAATTCAGAAAAATGTAAAGGCCATCGGTCTATCTTGCTGCCTATGTGCTTTCTTTTCTCTCTAAGTATTTGGGTATCTGTTGTATGCAAGATAGTGGACTGGGCCCCATGAAGAATATAGTCATTGAAACATGGTTCTTGTACTCAAGTTTATAAAATCAACCTTCTCTAAGCATCTTTCGAGGCTGACCCAGCCATAACATAATTGATTCCACGACTATCTTGTTGCTCAGCAAAGGAATCACTCTTGAATGGGAGAAGCTAGGTAAGGAACAAATATGTGTGATTTTATTTTTTATTTATTTATTTTTGGTTCTGGGGATTGAACTCAGGACCTCGAGATTGCCAGGCAGGTGCTATGCCACTGAGCTAAATCCCCGGCCCCAAATATGTGTGATTTTTAAAATGGAGAATTAATATGGAAATGGTCCTGGGTGCCTGAAATTGGAATTCCTAGAGTAAAACAGAAAAACCCAAGAAAAATGCTCTAAATTAGTATCAGAATTTGTCGGATATCATATTGAGTGGTCTGTACCACTAATTTCTATGATAATGTATTTCCTTAAAATGTTTCTGGTTTATCATTCATCAGAGTTATCCAGAGAGGTCTTTTTGAAGTTTTAAATGAACTGTGCCCTGTTTTACATGCATCTGTATGACATAGAGGTCCTGTGCTCTGAGCATGCCTCCAACACTTCCTTGTCCTTATTTTAGTTGACTCTGTTTTCCTCTGCCTAGTATGGATTGTGCCCTATACTTATGTGTGCATATACCACACCCCCCAACACACACACACATACACACACACACACACACACACACACACAGAGTCATTCTTCAAAATTCAGGAAGGCCAAATGCTGCTTGGGGCACGAGTCCTTCTGTTTCTTAATGCATGCCTTGTACTCCTACAGTATTTATAATAGTTTGCCTTCTGGCAGGCCAACAGTGCTGTGAACCCCTTAGGCCTGATGTTATGCCTACTTGTTTTTTTTGGTTTTTGGAGTTTTCTTTTTTTGGTACCAGGGATCGAACTCTGGTCCTTGCACTTGTGAGGCAAGTGGCGGAACCACTGAACTAAATCCCTGGGGCCCCTGCTTGGTTTTTTTGTATACATCTCAGTGCCTGGTGTGGTACTGTTTCCCTTAGTCCAATGATCCTACCTAACTGTTTCTAGTCCATTTCTGGACCTTGGCTGAGGAGTGAGATACCACCTACCCTCATTTCCAATGGAGGCCTGAGGTGCCTCTATTTTAGTTGAGAAGGCTAGTGAAGCCAGAGCACCAGCAGTTCACCTTTGGCCTGACATGAGGAGGGAAAGCAATTACTCCTCTTGGTTTTTCCCACAGCTCTTCAGAAGGCATAATTTTGTGGTTTATTTCCATTCCATCAGAAGGGTTTATCTGAATTCGGTAACTAACAACTTCCTTTCCATCAGAAGGCTTTATCTGCTTTAAGCTCATGTTTTATAAGAGAGATAAACCCTTTAAAAAGGCAGTCTCTTATAATCCATTATTGTAAAGAGAACACAGAAAATTGAAGTCCTAGAAAGACCTACACATTTACCTGATGCAGAATTTTTACCCAGATTGTGAGAACAGCTTGGGTGTGGTGTCTGTTGCTCTCGTGACTCCTGAGCTTGCTTAGGTTGATCTTGCTGCTGGGGCAGCCTCTTGCTCTTCCAGTGAGAGAAGAATGTCAAAAGTGCTTGATTGCCTGTGTTCTCCTGGTAGACAAACCATGTTTAAATGACTTTGTATTCTCTCTGAGGAGCCCAGATCCCTCAAATAAACCCACAAATTTCATTTGCCCAAAGAGAGTCCAGCTGCCAGCTGTTTTGCCACCATTTTCAACAAATTCTGCTGTAAGCACATACCTTTAGGAAGAAGCAAATGAGCAAGAAAATTACTACTCTGGTAGTTGGTGGGAAATAGAATAATTCTTAAGTTATTATTCCCTCTCATTCCCTTCCTCTGTAACCTCATATAAGTCTTATCTAGCCTAACTTTAAAATATTTCTTTGTATGCCTCCCAATGCTTTGTTCTCACTAATTCTAATTTAGAGAAAGCCCCACCTGGAGTTTTTAAAATAACAGTGTTCTTGAGACACAATTAACACACCATTCAATTTGCCCATGTAAAGTGTACAGCACAGAGCTTTCTGTTATGTTTGTAGATATGTACAAACATCCCTAATATTAATTTTAAAGCTTTTTTATCACATCAGAGAACAAGCCTGCACCTGGTAGCTATTACTAGTGCCACAAGCCCCAGCCTTAAGCCATTATTGATCTACTTTCTTCTCTATAGATTTGCTTTGTCTGGACATTTCATATGAATGGAATCATGTAATATGTAGTCTTTGCCACAGACTTCTTTCACTTAGCAAGCTTTCAAGGTTGATCTGTGTTGTCCCATGCATCACTATCGCTTTCCTTTTCATGGCCAAATAATATTCCGTTGTGTGGATATACCATGTTTTATTTTTCCATTCATCTGTTTATAGACATTTGAGTTGTCTGGGCACAAACATGAGTACATTTTCATTTCTCTTGCAAGTGGAATTCTACTTAGGAGTAGAATTGCTGACTCACATGGTAACTTTTAATTTATATACCTGGGCTTTTACAGTACCTCTTAGTTTGGCTATCTCTGTTTCCCTAATCTCTACTTCCTATAATTGCCATTCCTGAAAAAATACTGTCACCATGTGTTTCTTCTCTTTAAGATAAGTAATCTTTTAGGGGCTGGGGATTTAGCTCAGTGGTACCGCCACCTGCCTAGCAAGTACAAAGTCCTGGGTTTGATCCCTGATACCAAAAAAAAGATCAATAATCTTTTCCTATTGAAAAAAATAGCATCACATTCTCTTTTTTTGTAACTCAACCCCATCAATGAATGACCCAACCAGTCTTGTTTATCTGACCATGTTTTGTTTTGTCTTGTTTTATTTGTAGAACCTAGGTGTATATCTCTGCACCATTCAAGTGTGGTTCTTGTTTTCATGGTTATTTTGCACAGTGGTCATTTCAGCCTATTTTGTGTTTGATGATCTCTCTTTAGAGACTGCCATTCTTCCAACTTTCCACTTAACCAACCCCTTCCTATCTGCTATACCCAGGTGAGGCTTTGTCTCTACCAACCTCCCTGACCACTCCCTTCCAATAATCTGTTGTCACTGTCGATCTTTATTGGACTCTAGTTTGTACGTGTTGAGCAGTCTCAGGTAAACTAAAACCTTTTTGAGCAGGTGCTAGCATATGCCCTTCTCTGACCTCTGTAACCCTAAGACTTTGGGGAGTAGAAGCCCCGGTGAGGTGGAATAGAGAGTGAATTAAAAGGCAAGATCAGAGGCACCAATAACAGCTGGAGGCCATGGTGCTGGCATGGACATGAATGTTGAGGGTGGTGTCCATGGAACTGGGGAAGAAATATTTGTTACCAGGGATAACAGAATGGAAACAGCTAAAAACTACTCTATGGGTTCCAGCTCAGGAGACCTAAGGGTTAGAGAAGATCCATTGACCACAATGAAAAATATGGAAGAAGGATGACTCTAAATTGGGATACATTAAATTTAAAAGGAAGGGATGGGAAAAAGGTATATTCTTCTACTATTTTAAGAAGATTGAAGACAGATAAAATCTCAGGCATAATCAAAATGAATCAGAGCCACATCCTCTGTGTCTGTTTTCATTGCCCCTTTATCCCTCTTGTATTTCCCCCCATCTTTGTGTTTTTTCCTTTCACTTAAATTGCTTCATCTCTCCTTTTCCCCTTCTGCCTATTATTGACCTCATCCTTTTTTTTTTCTACTTTCACCTTGCTTTATTTCTTCTTCTATCCTATAACCTCACTTCTCTCCTGAAAGCTTCTCCCTTTTTGCTATCTCTCCTGTTTTCTCCCTATATGTGCACCTTGGTCTCTTTTGCTTCTCTCTCTGCCCATTTCTCCCTATCCAAGAACATTTTCTCGTAATTATATACCTTTCCTTTTCCTTCTCTCTCCTTACGCTTGCTTTCCTCCTCCTTGAACAGTCTCATTGTACCTTATTCTCATCCCTGCAGGAGATCCAGCAGCGGCATGGTCTGGCTAACTCCATCTCTTCCTACCTAATTAAGCCTGTGCAGAGGATCACCAAATACCAACTGCTCCTGAAGGTATCTCCCTCCCCCTTCTCTCACACCCTCCCATCACCACTGACCAGGGCACAGAAGTCTCAGTTTTGCCATCAAGTTGGGAAAGCTTCCACCTAAAGATTTTCTTTACCAAGAACACAGCTTCAGAGTGAGCCCAAGCTGGTACTGCTGGCTCCAGACTACATTTCCCATTCAATGGAATTCCAGATGCTGGTTTTGGGGGAGAAAGAGAAGAAATGGGAGTGAGAATAAATTGTGACTACTTTTCACTTACACGAATTTTAGCTACTGCCTACTTAATCACTAACTGGTTCTGAGAAATTTTCCCATCCCTCTTTTCTGAGCAGATCCCTCCTGTGGCCCCTGCTTTTCATGGACTCAAAGGTCAGGGTCTTCAAGACAGTGCTAACTTATATGGGCGTTAGAGGCCAGGGTGGCACCTACCATCACCTCCATCTCTGTGTTTGTCAAGACCATGGGGTCATTGGGGGAAAATAGTCAAGGGGTACATAAAGAAACCCAATGGCATTTTATATTTGGAGGGTCTCATATGTTAGGGGCTTTTCTGGAACCAACCAATAGATTTAGATTTCCTTTTGTAAAAAATAATTTAAAGTTAAATAAACGAATTATGCAAAACACTAAGTAATTTGGCTGAGCCTTCTCATATAAGAACACACTGATATTCTGAAAATATGGCATTTCTGCTGAAAGCCAGAGAAATTGACATTAAAGGCAGTTAGATATTAACATAACTCTATGCTAAGTCCTCAAGTGTAAGGATGGAGTTTTTCTCCCTTTTGAATATTTTTCTGGTTATTCCTGTAATGCAGTGAATATAAGGATATAAAGAGATGTGTTAAAAGAAGTGTAATTTCAAAGAAAGTCTGATGAAATACAGCTCATGTGTAGAGATGCCTGTAGAATCTTACATATTCTGGCTTCACCTAACATGAAAATCAGTCTGGTTTTAAATCTAGGGCTCTGGTCACACTGGAGAGCAGCCACCATTCCTAGCCCCTGAGGTCTCCCTGGCTCAGAGATTATGGGTCTGTGATGAAAAGCATAAGGTGGAGGCACAGGGAGACTGGGCCAGTTCTCCTGTCCTCTGGCTCAGGGCAGAGCCACACACCCTGCTGCTCCTTCAGCCTCCTCCCCTACCAACCTTCTCCTTCCTCATCTCTTAGGAGAGATGATGGGCTTCTGCTTCCAGGCACTCAGCTCCCCTAGTCTTGCAGAATGACTCCAAGAACTAGAGCTCGGCATCATGCGTTCAGCCTTAGCCGAGGACCTAGAATGAGAAGTGGCATTGTGCTGAACATGCCTGCTGTTTTGTCAGAACTGCTTTTGTGTCTTGAATTTTTGGAGTTTCCATAGAAAGACTCAGATATTCTCATAAGATCCTGGGGTAGGGAGCATCTTTGCTCTAAAAAGTCCTTGTGCTTTTGACCTTGAAGGCACAGATACTTTATTTAGGCTCTTCATTGCCTGTGATTGTTGGATACTTACACTAGATTCTCCTCAGCCCAGATTTCTGTGAATACCTCCTTCTCTATCATGCTACATGTTTGACATTCTAAGTTATTTTTCTTGTGCTAATATTCTTTAGCATTTATTTTTGTGGTTTTTAATTTATGTAACTCAAAACCTTTGACCATATTGGTGTTCTGAATTTAAAAAGAAAAAAAAAATCGACTCACCATCCACATTGCTAATGTCTTTAATCAATAAGATGCATTTCTAAGAAAAATACAGCTTTTTTGCTCTTGTCTTTAATCTCATAAGGCTGAAGTTCCCCAGGATGAATTATATGACACAGACAAGGGAGGGAAGTGGAGGACAGAATGTGCCACCCTACACGTGGCTTTAGGTGACTGGAGGGTGAGCTCCGGGCATTCATTCTGGAACTGAATGTTTCCCAGTGAGAAGAGACTTTGCAAGAAACTGAGAAATGAACAAATAAAGTAGCAGGGATTTTATTGTTGGGAGGTTGTAAAATTATTTTTTTTTAAAAAGATAATTTTAGCTTCTTTAAAATGTGCTGGTGGCAGAGTGCCTGCCGAGTAAAAGAAAAATAGTTTGCTGAGCTTTCAGTATAAATAAATAATACGAGATTTATTTTCTCCTCAAAGTCAGTTTTACTTCAAATAAATTTATATTTAATTATTGGTGTCCTCTGGGGGTCATCCCATTAGGTGTTGCCTGAGTGTAGAAACTATATGCCCATAAGAGTGTTCAATATTCTTCTTATAAATCTGCTACAGCTGTCCTTTTGGAGTCTGAATTAACTGTGGAGGCTTCTCCTTATCATAAATTATCGCAAGGATATAAGGAGAATTTATTGGCTCTGCTGGGAGATTGGTAGATTCATTAAATTGCTTTGGGAGATTAAACTAATTGGTGTTTTCTGTTGTAAACTGAAGTATATCTCTTGTTTCTCTCCCATGTTCTGCCTCAAGTGTTTTTGACGATGTGTGAGAACAATGTTGGGAGGGTTAAAATTAAGAGAGGTATAGAGGCATCAGAGAATTTCAGGTTGGCAGAAGTAAGTACGACTTTTTGTACAATGATAAAATTATACTGGCTAGAACCAACATCAGGGCTGAGAACTACAATTCCAAACATGTGCTTCAAAAACTTTACCTCTTCTTGAACACAGAAAGCTCCCTTGTTCATGTAGGAATGGATCCAAGATAACATAGAAGACTGGGTTTCCATATCATAATCTCACTAACCAGATATTTTGCCAAGTATTAAGCTTTTTAATAAACTGAAGCATATAAATAATCCCAAGGAAGAGGTGAATCAATAAGTCCAGGACCACCAGTGCATCTCCAAGTCCCTTCTTATAGCATCAGAATGTGCTCTGGCCCAGATCAATATACAAGGTCTCCAAATGATGTGTGGCACATTGTATCATTTTCCCAAAAAAGTGCTACATCCTATTCCAAAGAGAAACGCATTTTGGTCATGAAACGTGGTTGTTTTTTACTTAGACACAGTAGTTGCTTAGGTTATAAACTACTTTCCAGAGGACTATGCCCCTAAAATTACAAATTCTGGGTTTACCATAGGAAGTCCTACACAGGCCAGACAGATAGATTCTGATAAAAGAACTATAGGTAAGCATTCTGCTGCTAGCAAGTGACATTAGTGTATTTTCCAGGAGTCACTAATTAACTTACCAGATTTGATCTAAAGAACTTTCTTTCCTAGAAGTGTGACCCTACCAAACTACCCATTTCCTGCCCCGTCAAAGAGACAGTATAAATTGCAGCTCCATGTTGCTTCACTGTTTCTTTCCCAGTGCCAAAATGAGCAAAATAGTAATCCTCATAGGAAAATTGAGCAACAACCATTCCAAATGGTCTTATGAGTCCTAAGATATGGAAATTATCTTTTCTTTATCAGCAAGATATTGTATGTCTTTTATGAGGATGGTGATAACCAAAACATAAGTGGAGAACTGGAGAGGAAAAGATATGCTCCCCAGGAAGTAGGAAGGGGTTTGCTCTAGGCAGTCTTGGTGCATAGATGATATGGTTGGGATGGCTGCTGTGGTGGATAGAGGGCTGGGCTTGGACTCAGGAAACCTGTATGGCCTCCTTTGAGTTACATAACCTGAAGGACATTACCTCGTCCCTCTTCATCAGTTTCCTATTCTGACAATGAAAGGGCTAATCTAGAGTCTCATCTATTGGTCCTAGGATAGGAAATCCTGATCCACATAATCTAAAAATCTTTTATAACTCTGAAATATCATAAGCCTGTAATGTCACTAGTCTCAGGTTGCTCCCAGTAGAATAGAAGTCAGCCTTCATGCAGTAGAAGTGATATTAATAATAGGCTTGGAGGGTCGGGGATTTAGCTCAGTAGTTTCGGCACCTGCCTCGCAAGTGCAAGGACCCAAGTTTGATCCCTGGTACCAAAAAAAATAACAATAATAATGGGCTTGGAGAGACAAATGAGTGCTATGTGTTATGTAGCACATCCTTTTGTCTTCTCTTAATTCTCTTTTTTCTTGTGATTCCACAATACTGCACTTCTACATGTGCTTCACCAGGGCATATTTCCTTCTCTAGAAAAGCAGTTCAGCGACAAAGAGTGTCCTACTTGCTAACTTAAAGTTCCAGCCATTTGGGAGGTGGGTTGAATTGACTTCGTTAGAACTAGCTGGGGTTGAGGGAAGCTCAGACTGGAAGAAAAACAGTGGTTGAATTCTTTGGTGATAATTCCCCACCCCACTTTCCTTGCAGCTTGGAGAGCTGTTACAGAGAATGACACTGGTGTATAACTTCCTTGATGTGTTAGAGGCAGTCAAGGGTTGGGGAGAGGAAATGATCCTAATTGTGTTTGGACTTTTTTCCCCAGGAACTTTTAACTTGCTGTGAAGAAGGGAAAGGGGAGCTCAAGGATGGCTTGGAGGTGATGCTCAGTGTCCCCAAGAAAGCCAATGATGCCATGCATGTCAGCATGCTGGAAGGTACCTGTCTTCCTGACCCTTCTGAGAATGCCTCCTCCATTCCTAAGACCAGGGAGCTTGCTCACAGGAGTGAAGTACCTTGGAGTCAGGCAAGGGGCAAGGCTAGAGGAGAGGAGAAAGGGCAAGCTGTTAGATAGGTCCTTCGTAGACCTGTGAGGGGCACTCCACAGACCAGTTTGGCTAACATCTGCCTCCAGGTAGGACCAGGCCTAAGCCATTTAAGGTGTGTGGACACAACACATGGACATGTTGCTGCCAGTGAAATTGTGAAGGCCAGGCCATCATCTTTACCATAAATATGCTTGAGTTCTGACACACAGCAGTCCTGTTAATCTGTACAGCATTGCTTTGGACATCAGAATAAGAAATTTTAATTATACATCCACACATCAGTGTCTTCAGAATTATCCCCTTCTTTATTTTTAATTTTGGTAAAATATACACAAATATACATAATGTAAATTTACCATTCAATAGGATTTGGTACATTTAATTCTTGCACAGCCAGTCCTTCAGCCTTCCTGACAGTTAGGAAAGGCCAGCCATATAACACTGGTAGGATATCAGTCAGTCTTGGGATCCAGAATCCTTAGAGAGCAAGGCATCAATAAAGTGGTTTTAACACTGCAAAACAAATGGACAGAGAAGCCAGAATGGGCTGGAACTGGATGGATGATTTAAGACTTAACATTCCAATCCAGGCTGGCAGTCAAGTGCTAAAAGAAGTAAGTATAGTCTGTTGCAAATACAATAGCATGTGGGCTGCTTTTGCTTTTCTGGCTCCATCCCACCTTATCTTACTACTACCACCCCTATCTAAGAGACCTGATATGATTTCACTAGTTTCTGGACCACCCTCAGCACAAGAACCCCAATTCTAAGAGCGAAAGAGTCCAGGTTAACTTCTCCAGACTGAGCACTAATCATCGGAATGTATTTCTATTGTCACACTTTCTCCACCTCTTTCTTTTTTGTGTGCACCTGTTTTCCCAACCTTGGGTGTCCTCTTTAAGTAAGTGTTCCTCCAGCCTGTCCATGACTGTACTCTGTTTCCAGCTACTCCATATACGGTCTATAGGCAAGCAACACAAGCTAAGGAGTTGGTCATGAGTGCAAATTAATGGACTTTCCCCAAACCTGCTGCTTGAGATTTTCTTGGGGAGGTGAGAGAGAACAGGAACCTGTGTTTCCTCATGCTTGCCAGGTGATTTTTATGCACACTAAAGCTTGAGGACCTTCTAAATACTTGAAGTGGTATAAATGTAAACTGATGAAAGCTTGTACACAATGCAGGAGCAATCAAAGGGAAAAGTCCTAGAAATGAAATATAAGAAATAAGACATTGACAAATAAAGGAGCCAAGGATTGTGTCCATCAGGCAGTGTTTGTCCTCAGCTCCACTCAGAACTCCCCAGTTGGGAACAATAGGGAGGATGAAGGAGTTATGGGAGCCCTTAGGGAGGTCAAAGGCCCCTGCCTTATTTTGAGTGGGAGGAGGAGAGTTCACATGGCCCATACTAATGGGGAAGACTTTCTCCAAGGGGGAATGGAACACTGCTTCCCTGAGTGTGGTGGTAGAGAAACTCCATAGAGTGGACATGGGTGTTTTTCAGGGTTCGATGAGAACCTGGACGTACAGGGGGAATTGATTCTCCAGGATGCCTTTCAAGTGTGGGACCCGAAATCACTGATCCGGAAGGGACGGGAGCGGCACTTGTTCCTCTTTGAAATCTCCTTAGTTTTTAGCAAGGAGATCAAAGATTCTTCAGGACACACGAAATATGTTTACAAGAACAAGCTACTGGTAGGTGGGCTGGATGGGGTAGGAAAAGATTCCCTGCTTTCCTAGAGCCTTTAGACAGGTCAGGATCTGGACACCCAGCTCCTTTCTTCCCAAGCCTTCACAGGAAAGTCCTCCTGGGAAAAGGCTCCTATTTGGACAGGTCTCACCCTCACTACCCACTTCTGCATTTTAGAGTTCACAGTTCTTTCTGTTTGCTTTTAGTGCCTCCCTCTTCACCATCCCTCCCTGGTACCTGCTACTCAGGCATGTGCCTGTAGGTCCTTTCATCTGGGTAGATGAACAAAGTTTCTAGTCTTGAAGTTTGATTGACAGAGCCCCTCCCTCGGTCCTCTCCTCTTTGTTGCCTTTCCCTTCCCACCCCAGCCCTAAGTTTCCCCACTGCCCTCCCCTTCCCCGCCTCTCACAGGCATTTCCTGTCTACAGACCTCAGAGCTGGGTGTGACCGAGCACGTAGAGGGCGACCCCTGCAAATTTGCCTTGTGGTCTGGCCGCACCCCATCCTCAGACAATAAAACAGTGCTCAAAGTAAGTACTGCTCTCCACTAGGAGGCCTGGGGGAGTGGGATGGGGAGTTATGAGCATGTGGCACCTAAGAGCTGGGGCCTGGAGACCACTGAGCTACTGGGTCCGTCTTGGAAATGGCAGCATCACCTGGGTATTGAGAAGCAAATTCCATCCTGAAGGTAGACTAAGAATCTCAAAGACAAATGTATTCCTCCAGTCCATAGGGAGAAGAGGCCAAAGGGAGGGCCCACTGACTTCCTCAACAAGGCCCACTCAACTATGTTTGTCTATATGTCCCCTTCCTGTGGTGAGAACAATTGGCTTTTTGACAAAAGGCACCCTGATTTGTTCCATATCCATTCTATATATTTTCCTAAACGATGTCCATGTATAAGATATTCTACCCAGTGCCATGAGTGAGTCACTATGTGTAAGAGATGGACCTTATTCTCTGGGAACTTGTGTTCTAAGCTGTAGTAAATCACATGAGCATGGAGCTCAGCACACTCATCTCAGCTCTCCAGTGTGTGACCTGGGCCAGGGGTTGCTGCTGCAGGTAAAGGCAGAAGTGGTGCAAAGGAAGCTCCCTCCCACTGGTCCCTGGCTGCTTAGGGAAGTGCCTATCACTACAGAGCAGATGACTTGCTAGCATGGCTGTTGCCAATCATGAGGCAGAACCACTTGAAAAAGAATCCATTAGTCAGATGAAATGTTCCTGGAATGATGGCAGGTCCTCCAGGGAACCAGTTTAGCAGGCTAAAAACCCTTCATTGACCTCCAGGCACTATGAGCCTCTGTGGCTGTGGTAGGTATTGGACGTGCTGACAAATATCCATGCTGGCTGATGAATAGGCTGCCTTCAAATGACACCCCTCAATGAACCCAGACCTCCCCCGCCCCATTATCTAGCAACTCTAGTGTTAATCCAGCAGAGGCCTGCATATACTCCTCCATCCCCAGGCCGGACATGAAGATTGGTCAGCATGTTATGGGTTGTGAAGTATTTTGAAAACTCCCTTTCCAGTTCTTGAAACCATAGCTCTATTCTAAGCGTTCGGGATGCATGTCCCTGGGATTAAAAAGTCATAAATATAAAGTAAGAAATAAACTCCCCAAACATTTGAAATCCTTGAAAATAATAGCTAAGGCTAACAGGAGGTTGGAGAACCATTTTGGCATGGCAACAGGAATTGGGGTTCTCAATCTTTCTCCCTGTGGTACTCTAGGCTTCCAACATTGAAACCAAGCAGGAGTGGATCAAGAACATTCGAGAAGTGATTCAAGAAAGGATTATTCACCTAAAAGGAGCTTTAAAGGAGCCAATTCAGCTCCCCAAAACACCAGCCAAACAGAGGAACAATAGTAAGAGGTAAACAGCATCTCTCCCTCCAGTACTGTCTGCCTCATGTTTCTGGGTGCGGGAGTGGGGTGACCCTTTGCTTCTGAGGAGTTGGTGTTCTGGGGAGGCCACAGATTCCACCTGTAGAGAATTACTTATCTTTAAGCATCTCACTAGTTCCTCTCAGCTAAATGTGACAGGGTTTCATTTAGCACCTCCTATGTGATAAACATTCTAGTAGGTGCTACCAGAAGAGAAAAAGAAGTATAAGATTAGTCAGTTCCCTCCAGACCATCTCTACCAGTCACATCTTATGTATGGAATAGACCAGAACAGTGCCATCTGTAGGGATGGTAAATGCTGTAAGAACTCAAAGGGGATTTTAAGTGGCTCTGAAGAGTCTGGCAAAGGCTTTGGGAAGGAGCTGAGCTGAGCTGAGTGGAGAGCTCTGTAGACTGTAGAAAGTAGGGATACACTGTAAGCAATGGGGTAGGGGTGGGGGTTTCACTGCAGCTCTTGCAATCACCATGGAGTCCACACCTTCATTCTCCTGCAATAAGCAATATCAGGCAGAAGAAGACTTATTTCTTGAATCTCTCCTGACCTTTCTGAATCCCAATTTCTCTAAACCAGTGGATGACTTCTTATGAATTTCTTTCTCAAATCTCCATGTGACATTGATACAATGACTGTATTAAGAGGGCACTTCAAAGGAATGCATACAAAAATGACACACACAGTTTAAAACATATGGCAGAAATAGAATTTTGAGAATGGTAGTCACTGGTGGTACCAGGTTCTCTGTCCTTTTTCCTGTTCACAAATTGATTAAGTCCAGAGAATTTAGTTGACTTCTGGCCCCACCCAGGATAAGAAAGATGAGGAGCCACTGCAGGGCTATGAAGTGGGAGCATTATTTTGAGTGAGGTGGCAACTAAATGAATAAGGTAAAGATGCCTCCATGGGGCAGAAGCCCCAAGCCCCAAGTCCACATGGTCAGGATAAGGTCATCCATCCATACTGGAAGAACCAATTATGACTATATTGGAAGAGAGGTCATTTTGATTTCATGTACCTGTGCTGGGTCCAGGTTATGAGTAGACTTAGTTTAACACTGGAAACAGACAATGCTTTAGATTGCCTCTATTTTAACAAAGAAGACATAAAGGAAACTATGATAAGGAATGGATTGTCCAGGACCATGGTGAAAGAGGAAACTCAGGTGAGGTTGGCTAAGGTTGCTCTGTGAAATAACCCCCTATTTCTAGATTAGTAGATTCAGAGTGTTTTTAGAACATGAGAAGTGCATGTCTCAGAAATGTCCTCCACATTCTCTCTTGTCCTTGATATGAGAGAGAAATCTCACAGACTACAGAGAATGCCTGACAGTCTGTACTTCCATTATCTTGGCTCTCTGAATATGGGGACAGAGTTTCCGGAGGAGTGGATTGGCTTACGGAGTGCCACCCACACTCCTGGATGGGCCCCCACACCCTCCAGAATTGTCTTCATCTGGAGTGGGCCAGAAGGGCCTGAGATGGGCCAGAACAGCAGAAAGTACAGCCAGCTCTCAATATCTACAATGGTGGGGGCAGCAGTCCAGATAATCCAAAACAACAGATGATCTAAGAGTATTTTATTTTTTGTTTCAAAATGCATCACATAATTTCTTTTTACAGCATATTTCCCTTCCTACAAATGTGTGGCTTATGCTATTAAAATAAGTTGGCATTTCCCAAGCCCACAAATGGTGGTGAGAGAGCAGTCAACTTAGAAATGTTCTGCATGGGAGAAACTACTTTTTCTGATGATGTGCATCAGACAATGATGATGAAACTACTTTTTCTGTGTATGTACAGATGCACACTTGGAGATATCTGCATGCACACATATGTCCCCACAGACACCAGATTATGATTGTTTTGATGCTGTAAGCTGGACTCATTATCTGTGGCATCTTGCTCGTGGCATAAGATTCTCCAGCACTGAGTTCTCCTGTCTCCAAATGCCATGACTTTTCCACAAAAAGTATCAGCGATGTGACGTTCATAAAACAGTACACAGGAAGATCTGTGGTTTCCTCTGCTAATTCCAATCTTAGCCCTCATTTCCCAAGTTTCCCCAATCCTGGCCATTCAGTAGTTCACAGGTATCCAGTCTGTCTGGGGCCTGGCTCTGGGTTCAACATAGAATTGGGGTGCACTCTACAACACAGATTTGAAAGAACTGCGTGGGTGGAACTGCACGGTCCCAGGTCACAGGAAGGGAGTGCACTGGGGAGAATGTCTTGTAAGACAGTAGGAGCAGAGCTGTTGCAGAAGCTTCTGTGGAATCTGTGACTGTTCTCCAATCTTTGAAACAATGGGCCTTCTGTGCTGATAAGAAATCATGACAAATGTACATGGGATTAACAATGCTCACCAAAAGGATGGCAATATATGCTTCCTCCATACCCAGGAGTTGAGGACCCAGAATCAAGAACTTCCCAAAAATAATCTCCCATGGAGAAAACTCCCCACCCTATTTTCTTAAGCAGAAGAAACATAAGTAAATAAAATAATCTTAGACTCAGTGGTACATGCCTGTAGTCCCAGCCATGTGGGAGCCTGAGGAAGGAGGATCACTTGAGTCCAGAAATTTAAGGCTAGTTTGAGCAACACAGCAAGACCCCAACTTGGAAAAAAAAAAAGAAAGACATCTATCCATTCTGGGTTTGTTTGATTTTTTTTGTACTAGGGATAGAACTTAGGACCTTGCTCTTGGGAGGCAGGCAGTGGAACCACTGAGCTAAATCCCTGGCTCCATTCTGTTTTCTTTACAGGCCAGCAATAAGCTAACTTCCACTCTAATTACAGCATGCAGAAAACTACTTGGGTACCCTGAACTCTGGAGTCACTGGAAATGACCCTGTCAGCTAGATAGATGCATCTTTCTACTATATATTTTAGACTCATTCCCAGTTCTTTTTAATTGTCCCCCCCCTGCAGTATGGACTGGAGGCATTATGGGAAAGGAGTCATTTTGCATTCAGGTATCAACATAGTGATTATATGTTCACCAAGTGCAAAAGGTGACGTCCTTCAAAATCACATAAGGCTGCTCCCTTTAGCAGGTCAGTTTTACCCAAATCCCTGCTAGAGATGCTGAGGTGCTGCTGTGCCAGCCCAGCTGGAAATCCTTGTGTGCTCTAAACCCACAGTGGTTCCCCCCACCCCCACCCCTGTTTTTTTCTCTTCTTTCTACAGGGACGGAGTGGAGGATATTGACAGCCAGGGGGATGGGAGCAGTCAGCCAGACACCATCTCCATTGCATCTAGGACCTCTCAAAACACAGTGGACAGTGACAAGGTAGGAAAGAATCCTAACCTTCCTTCCCCAAGGCTTCTTGTTGGTTTAGCCACCCCTGGAGAGTTTCCCTCAGATTTCTCCCACTCTGGAGCCAATGCACAGGAGTCAGTTGGCGCTTTGTGCCAGCAAAGGGAGGAGAACAGGACTGGACTCTCATGTTGAGAGACTCATACAGAAGTGGAAGGAAGAATAGTTCGAGGGGCAGGGTGTCTGTTCTCTCTCTCACATGCCCCACCTGGACTGCTTGGGTTGCTCTGCCTTTTGGGAGGATGGACCTCAGAGGGGCTGAGGTTGGGGTAGTTTCCTGAGATGCCAGTGGCTGTGACTAGTTTGTATTTATCATAACTCAAGTGGGGCTCATCTCAAAGTTACACCAATACCAGTGCTTTGGGAAATGTCCACAGAGATGCTGCTTGGCAAGGGCCTCTTATCCAAAGGGACTCTAGTGAATAAATGATGCCATCCTTTGGCCAGGTTACTGGGGCTCGGGTCCTGAGAGATGGGAGGAGAGGGAAGTGGTATATGAAGGATGTAGTCATCTTACAAGAAAACCTGGTCACTTGCTATCTCACACCTTGGAGTAAGCAAGCAAGGGTTAGCTCTGAGGAGAGCATAGTAAGGGAGCTGGTATAAAGACTCCATGTGTTCACTGAAGCTGTGCAGGGAACACAACCTCCATCACAATTCGCTGCAGAAGGAGGAAAGGGTCCATGTCCCTGTCTACTTGAATTTGCTCACCCCAGGTCCAAAGGTGACCTTTTTCTGCGTATTAATGATTTTGTTAATGAAGTTACAGCTTTCCAAAGACTCTCTAGCCCTCATTTATTTAGACCCAGTGTTTTGGCCCGCGCCTTCAGCCTTAAGCATGTGTCTTTACTTCATTTAAATTTTCTAGATTATGAATATCTTTAAAGATATCGATGTCTGCATTCACTAGAATTTTTCCTAATTTTTTCTTACTATGAAAAAATGTCACTGAGACCTTAGCATAGGGACAGTGCCCTTCCCTGCTGAGATTACGGCACCTAATCATTGTAACCATGCTTTGTTAACTAATGTTCAAAAACATTCATGATCATTCTAACAGCTGTCTTCAAGTTTTGAAGCCATTTTTGACTATCAGAGTGGATGGAAAATTAGTTTTTTCCCACTTACAAAAACATGCAGAGAAAACCATTTCCGTACTTTCCTGTTTCCCCTGATCTGTTGTCTTTATAATTAGGATACTCAAGAATGAAAATGTTTCTTTTTGAACACTCAGTGGGCAGTAAGCCAAATACAAGGCTGCTCATGTTCAGACGTAGACTGTTAAATTTCATAGTCCTGGGAGTTCATCCCATCCAGCTGTTTGTTAATCCATCTTCCCAAGAGCTGTGTAGACTCCTCTGCTAGGGCCATTTCTCCTAAGAAGACCTGGGCTCACCTATTCATTTTCTTCCTGGCAAGGTAAGTGAGGCTAGATTAGATGACAAACTTATGGCATTAGACATTTCATTAGTAATGATAGTTCCTGGTACTTATACTTTTCCTTTAGTAAGGAAACTGAGGCTCAGAGACTGAGTGAATCACCAAGAAAGTGCTAGTCATTAATGGAAAAACAGGAGCTAGAACTGAGACTCTACTCTGTCATGTCTTCCTTCCTGTCGCTGTAGAAGTCAAAGCATTGAACTCTCAAAATTAAAAATAAAGTCAATTCAACTGGTCAGTCTTTCTGCACATTCCTCAAAAACATTGGCTATGTATTTGTGTAAAGGCATCTTGTGCTAAGCTGTGTGCTGGACACTATAGAAAGATATGGACTGTTGTTGAATGTAAATCGCTTTCTGTGATTTTTTGTTTCCTGTCTGTCACTATAGTCCATGCCATTGGTCCCTGTTGAGGGCAGGGGTTGTGTCTGTCTGTTTCACTGCTCTGCTCCTGGCATTTAGCACGCATAGATGCTCAGGAAATATTTGTGAAATGAATGAATGTAGGGTACATAGTCCCAAGCTGCAGGGAAGTTCAGGATTAAGAGGCAGCCAAAGCCAGCTGAACAGATAAACACTCTATTTTAAAATGTACTAAAGAAGTTTACTTACATCCAAGCAGAAAGCTTTAGTAAGCTAGAGAACCCAGCTTTGTTGGAAGCATTAGTCCCCAGCTACCTCCTTTAGCCTTAAGAGACATGGGCAGACAAGATGGGAGGATGATGAGAAATTCTATGTTTCTAATACAAAACCTGTAAAATCACCAAGAAATAGTTACACTTTCAAACTAGAGAGCCTGTCACTGACTATCCAGTGTAATTTAAAATATTCTCACTCTTTAACACAGAGCAGTATTAATAGACCAGCCATATGCTTCCTTTTATCAGTGAATCCTACATTGGTATCTTGAATTCATAGGTGTTATAAAACAGGGTCATTTTCCTCCTACCTCTACTAGAAGGTCAGGGAACCCCAGTTCCCAAGTGGGCAGGTGAATTGACTCTGGAGAAAGGAAAGATAAAGTGAACTATTTCAGATAAACTGGCCTGTTTTCAGCAGAAAGGCAAACAAGGGTGGCTGTGGGAGGTGACAGGGCAGACACACCTTACAGAAATCAGGGTCATTTGAACAGTGGATTCCTTTGAAAGTACTTTAGTCTTCCTCTTCTGATATAGAGGAATGACTGGTAGCTGAGGACAGTGTAACCATTAATGACCCACTTAGGAGCTGTGGTGCCACAGGTACCCCTCCGGTGCTCTGTATGCTCTCTGTGGTGTAGGGGAAGGAGTTTGGACATACCTGGGTTCAAATCCCAGCTCTGACACTCTCTGTGTCACACTGCGTATGTTGTCACAGCTTAGTGCCCCTGACTGTAAAACAAGGGTAATACTACCATCTCATGGAGTCACTGGGAAGATTAAGGAGAACCCTTTTACTTGGTAGCTGTTAGATTCAGTAAAGGCCAATTTCTTCCCCTATGAGAAGGGAAACAAAGATTGAGTCTTATGAATAAGAGTACACAATTTGTAAGCAGACTATGAAGATCTTTGCAAGTTTTTGAATTCTGGCCTCTGGCCTCATCATTATTAATAATTATCAGCAGTTTCTCTGTGTTAGAACTAAAGTGGTATCACTTCAGTTTACCTGTCTATAAACAGAATGGCTTTTCTCCCCTGTTCATTTGGTAGCCCCCAGAGTCTCAGGCTTAGATACTTGTTGTTAGCATTAGCTCGTGGGTTATATTATTATTTAAAGGATTATAATTCATTACTAACAGTCACTTAATGCTCCAAGTGTTCCTACCATGCTTGACCACTAGTTGACTCTAAAGTTGTAGCTATATGGAGACAAAGTACTTGTCATGTCTTTTTTTTTTTTTAATTTTCTCTGATTAGGTTAGAAGTCCTAAGTTTCTCCTGCTGTTCTTTATATTAATATTTTTTCAAATCCTCCCATTTTCTGGTGCTTTCCCCTGGATTTCCTCCAGTGTGTAGTTTCTGTATAAAATGGGGCCTCTAGAATGGTATGTGGTCTGCACATGTGACCTTGCTAATGTGAACACAGCTTCTCAATCTAGGGCTATGTTCAGAATTCTCCCTAAGATGACCCATCATGTTTAGTACATGTGTCCATTGTTGGCTCACAAAATCTCCATACTTTTCTCATGGATTTAGTAAGTGACTTAGTAACCTGAGTGCGGGATGACTTTGCATCTATTAGATTTTCTCTCATCTAGTCCCATCCCAGTGTTCCAGCATGTTTTTGAATATAAATTATTTCATCCAACATATTAGCTACACCTCCCAGAAAACACAACCTTCTATGGCTTCATCCAAATTCTTACTTTTTTTTAAGACTGAGGACAGAAGACCAATGTGCAGGTCCCTTTCTCATTTCAGAAGACCAATATTCAGGGTTTGACACTTGGAAACTTCCTTGCCTGACTCTTCTTTGAGGTATTGAGAGAAGGAAATTCCACCACTTTTCTCATAGCAGAGGAACTGGGACTGTTGACTGAAATCCCACCTTAATGCAGAAGCAGTCTACTATTAATAATTCTGCATTAAGCCCTGACAAAGCCAAGATAGGTGCCTCAACAAGTAAATAGCATGAACAGCTTTCCCAGAGTTGCTTTTTTTGGACCTTGATATTTCTCCCTTAAGCCTGTCCTAATCAAAAGTTGTTTCTTGAAGGCAAAAGGGTAGGCTAGCTGTATTCCAAAGTGATCTGAGCCCCTCCCAAGTCTGCCCAGAAATATATTTGTGCTATTCTGAATAGGAAAACTATAGAGTCTTTGCTTGTATGTGTATTATCGAATGATAAGGTTTTGCAACCACACATCAAAGATATCTAAAATTATAAGTCTAGTCAAACAAGGCTAAATAATGATGTGGCAACAAAGAAGAATCTTGTTCTTTGACATAATAGATGTCTACCAAATAATTCCCACCTAATGGTATAAAAGCAGCCACCTGCACTGTGATGTGATGAACCTGGTACATGTATTTAGGGGACACATGATAGACACATTCAATATGTGTTTATCTAATTAAACATTATAAAGCCATCCTAGTAGGAATACTCTCCATCCAAAAATCACTGAATTTCTAGACAGGCCCAGCCTAGCTGGAGAAAGGGAAATTGGAGTGAAATTGAGTTGCAGGTGCTGTTCTCTGCAGAAATTGTAAAGGAAAGAATACTGTGGAAACATCCCAGGGCTGATGTGTGATTTGAATGAAGCTTCAGTAACAAGCTAATGTGACCTGAATTAGACAGGGGGCTGATAATGCTGTGTGTTTAAGGGCACAGGGAAATTCCTGGAGAAGCTGGAGGCTTGAAGAACTAATTCAGTGACTTTTAAAATCAGAATTGTCAAATCAATGTAGTTGGTCTCATGACCAAAATTTTGTTTTGCTGACTGGGAAAGAAGGCAGAGATGGTAAGGATCCAACTAAGGGGAATGTTAAATCCTACAGTATCAGTGCTACTTTGATAACAGGCTACAACCTGATCCCTATAACAAGAGGTGGGGGA